TACATGCAGAGATAAAACAAAGAGTCACCATTTTCTAGCTGCAGTGATTTGATTCAAATCAAATAAATCTACTTTATTTACGAAAAAGAAATTCAAATTTTATGGCGGAGCTGTAATATAATGTTCGGTATTCCTCACGCACTCATCATTTCAGAGGCTGTCAACAAGTCCACACTCTTTCAAGAAATGTGGAGCGTCGGCTCCCCCACAAAAGCAGTCGGGACAGCCAATCATTACAATGTACTTACGGCGAATGATTGGGCTAAAAATATAATTAAACAAAAAAAAAAAGTTTTTTTTGTGTTTTTTGTTTTTGCGTTGCGTTGGGCATTTGATGTTGTACCGTGCTCAGTGCTCTTTCGTCGATGTCCCCTCCTTACATTGCAGCGATTGGCGCTCCCAGATGCTTTGCGGAAAAGTATACACTCCCGATTCCTTAGACTACGGAACCAATAAAATAAGCTAGAGCTTCAGTGCCCGACTGTCTTGGGGGCGACGTCATATTGGTGCTTAGTACAGAGCGGGCGCAACTGGCGATAGCGTACAAAAGAAAAGGCAATAACCCCTCCTCCTCCTCCTCCTCCTCCTCCTCCTCCCCCCCCCCCCCCCCCCCTCTTTCCCGAAACAAGCAGAATCCGCAAGAAAACACAACTCCGCGTGATCCCCGCCGTGTAGTAGCAGCCGCAGCTAAAGCCCCGTGGCAGCGGACGACGGCCAAGAAGGAGGGGATGTTATCGTGTCGGGCGAGTTTCCGATAACGGGAGACATTTCTGACTTTTATCGGGCGCTCGCCGCTGGAACCGAGCGTTTCTCTTTTTATTATTATTATTATTTCTGTGTCGCAGGAAGAAGAGTGTGCGGGACATTATCGCACGCCCGTTGAGCTCGAAGAAGTTGCGCTGTAGTACACCTATCGAAGGCTGCCGCAACGGATGTTTCGAAAGTTTTAGCTGAGAGTATACGAACGAGGGCTTTAAAAGACGCGACCGCACTGGGGATCCATCAAACAAAAGACAGTCTGCCGTTTCCTGTATAGCACGTTCTGTCACACTCGTCATACAAATACGTGGCAGCGACTTTTTTCGGAATAATACACGGTCGATATACGAAACGATCGCTACCTCGGATCGGGAGCTCGGACCGATCGTTTCCCAAGAAACGGCTTTTAGGGAACCGCGTTTGCAGACGATCGGTGGTGCAGGTCGCGCCCCCTGGCAACGGAAATGCGCAATGGATTCCTAAAGTGGGTAAAAAAGGGGCATGCATTTTTTTTTTTTTTTTGGGGGGGGGGGGGGGGGAGGGGGGGGGGACGAGTGTTTCGTAATTTTACGGAACTGAAGGAAAAATATTTCCCTTTTGAGAAATAGCCTGAAGTCAAATGTGTGGACCTAGCCATATTTGGTCTCGTATTTGCTAGAATGGGAGCGCTAAATGTGGCGGCAGCGTCCCCACCGTGACTGAAGGGTTCGTCTGCTAAAGGAGCAGAACATCTTCGCGGCAATCGTGGCGCTAGAACTTCTTGAAGATAAATTCGAATTGGCGTCATTCGGCGAGAAGAACTTACACGAAGTCCTTTTATTTGACTTGGCCACCACAAAGGAGAGGAGACTGCTGACGGCGAGACTAGGGACGTTCGACTTCGCGCCGATGTATGAAGTGGGTGTGCTACGCGAAATTCGCTTCGACAAAGCTGACGTAGATTCTAAGAAAGCGCTGGTGTCTTGTTCACGTTTCGTTTGTTTTCTGTTTTATTTGTCGTGAATTCGAGATGATTCGGTTACCACCCCCATGCCATTTCCTCCAGGCACAACCCCGAATGCTTTCATTCACGTTTGATGCTTCGGCAAGCCTATTCCCACGGCGAAACAGGAAACAGCCATTCTCTTAACGAGTCGAGACGCTTCAGATGTCAGCCACTCTGATCATACTACCACAGCTTACGTTTCGGAGATTGGACTACGGTAAGGCAGCAGTGACATCGCGCATGCGCTGTCCTTACCGGAGAGCCAATCGTATCGTATCGTTGGCGCAAAAATGGTTCTTTCTAAGAGGAAGCTTTAGGAAACCGTTGTTGCACATCCGATATGGTACGAACTGCGCATGCGCACTTCTTACCGGATCGGACGGGCAACAACGGTTCCCTAGAACTCTCAAGTCTCTGCGGACGGCCTTTTGTATCAGTGTGTTCGGCTTTACGGAAAGAGGTCAAGCAGCAAGCCAAACGCCATTCGCAGACGAAAATACAACCGACAAAACACCTTGCATGGTCTGCTAACAAATGTCGGCCGACGCAGCCCGCCATTTTGGTCTACATCGGTCGACATTTTCCCATTGAAAAAGTTCAGAAAATCACTTGGAACTCTTGAACGAAGTAACGACAAGCCTTGAAACTTTGACATATGGTCCTGACCGCTGGCGCTACATATGGACGGAAACGGAGCGTTCAAAGAAACTTTTTTTTTTTTTTTAGTTGGGTTGTGGACGTATTTAAGATACGTATTGGTTATTTTAACAAAACGCACACGTTTCATACGCAAAAGTCATGGTCGTTAATTTCACTTCCTCTGACAACCCATTTTGTGATGAATACTTCGGTTGTTTTTTGGAGGTGACAAAAAATGCAGAGAAACAAGACAGAAACAGCACATGGAGATGCACCAAATACAATTTGATAGCAACTTTGGTAGCATGTTTGTTACTACGAAAGTATCACCAAAGCTGGAAGGCGGATTGACCATTCAACGGTAATGGTGCTAAGTTCTGCAAACCCCAACAACAACAAGAAGGAGGGTCAAAGTAACGAGGAGGCTCCAAACATTCACAAAATAAACTCGCCGCAAGGAAGTGACCATTCTCCTCCCGATTCACTGCCACATGGTGCAAGCAGTATACGAGCAAATTTTAACACAAAAGACACCAAATCCCCCTTTTTTTTTTAGTTTTCCGTCTTTCTTTCTTATTCTCACACAAACATCAAGTTCAAAACGGGGAGAAAAAAAAAAAAAAAAAATCTCCGCACACGCCAGCGAAATTAAAACCACCGAAATTCCCAAATTGCTTTCGAGGAAGTACCCCGGAGACAACAATAACCACCAGGCAGCAAGCACACAGAAAGGGGGGAAAACAACCGCGAAGAGGGATTCCCCCCCTCACACACAACACAATCATCAGGGTCGGCTTCGCTACCGCCGATGCAATCTTAAAAACACGAAAGAATAAAAACCACACCGCAAAACAGCGCGGACCCCGTCTGCCATCTTGGTCTCTTCGGACGGGACCAACAACGCATCAGCCAGCACAGGCCGTTCCTCTCTCCAACAAGTGTTTCCGAACGCACGCACAACGCACCCCTGCCACATCCTCCTCACAACTTCTCCCTCGCCCACAACCCGTACCACCGCTTCCAACCGTACCCTCTCCTACAAGATGGCGGCGGCAAACTTGAGCTCACTGACTAACTACGGTACCTCATACGCTCTCCCAACCTCCGCAAACCGGAGAAAAAAAAAAGAGTCTTTGGAAAAGCCAAAAGGCGCCCACCCTCTCCATCGCTCTCTCATTGATCCTCCTCTCCCTGGCCAAGATGGCGCCGGTTTTAGTCGGGAGTTCCCCCCTTTTTGTATTGATCGGTGTATGTCGAGACATGCGGCTGACGTACGGTGTGGTGCGGACGGTCCTCGAACGGGCCGTCAGTTCGTCTGACGTCGTAAATGGAAGTCCCGTTTGTTTACAAGTTGATATTGATACAGTCCAACAACTGGCAAAACGAACTTCCAGAAGTCCATGTCGGACGCTGACCGGATGCTTTCGTAGCAGACGACAGATGATAGTGGCGAGTACTGATATCGATGCGAAAAGTAATGGTTCTGTGCTTCCATTTTTGTTGGTTTTTTGGATAGAAGCGTCCACGACAGAGTTAATGTCGCCTTGCGTTGCATTAGGTCAACAAATTTGTAACAGCTGCGCCTTGATCCCTCTTACGGAAACTGAAAAATTGCTAGACTTGAACATGAATGAATTAAAAATAGTGAAACGACACTGCGTTTCGTCAGTATCACCGTGTATGAAACAGACGTGCTCCACGACTTCCCGTAATTACCAGATGTGTGTCACACACGGGACTCGTACTCTGCAACGTGTGCGCGGGTTTGAATTTAAAAACTTGCGCCGGTTGGTGTCTAACGGTCCCCGTCGTCTGCTAACACCCTCCCCTGACTGAACCGGGATGCGCAGACCACGGAAGAGCACCTCAATCTAAATGTCGATTTTCCCTACTGCATATCTAAACGAGAAGCAAGCAGCAGTGAAATAATTCCCGCTATCAACGAAACTGATCCGGACAAGTTCACGAACAAGCGCACGGAAATTGGCAACACGTAAAAGTGATCTTGAGTGCTTCCAAAGTAATGTTGCGCGAGTTCGAGTGTGGGCTTTACGTTTTCCCACCGAACCGGACGTTAGGATCGCACAAGACAAAGCACGATGGCCATCTCCTCGCCGTTGCCGAGCGACCGATCAACAAACATCAGCGCGGCACCCGGAAAAAAACCAAACAAACAATAAAGAAGCGGCGTCGCGGCGTGCTTCGTCAAAAGCGTCTGGGATCCCCATCGGCAAATAACGGTCACGTTTTCTAGTGAACACCGTGTTCCCGACCGACCGCACTTTATGTCGGTTCGATGTGCCAGATGCGAGTCGGCTTCACCGCGAACACACGACGCCGTACTCGACGTAAATTGAAGCCGACTGACCGGGTCCGTCGTCTGCTAAAAGTGCACGGCGAAGCAGACGACGCCACCCGCCAGCCACATCACAGACGAGACTACAGAAAGCTGTCTGCTGCTTTCTCTCTCGCCCCCAGCGAGCGAACCGAAAACCCGATGGCCGCAGACGGCTGTCGGCTTCGTTTCTTCTTTGTATTTTATGCCGTCAGTGTTGCAACAATAAGCAAAAGGGGAGAAAAAAAATTAAAAAAAAAAAGCAGTCCAAAGTTTTCTTACCTTTTCAGAGCGCCGTAGTCCGTGTCAGGTCCACTTGGGCTAGTTCCTTCTCGAAGGACACACACAAAAACCAGCACCGGTCGTGGTCGGTGATAGCGGGATTAATCTCACCAAGGAATAATCTCAGAGAGTTAATCTCTCACACGTCGACGCTACGATCGAAGCACCGATGATTAGATTGTCCAGGCCGGAAGCACACAAAAATCACACACGAAGACGACGCCGACGGCGCGTGCTCTTTTTTTTCTCTTTTTCACTTTCACGAGGACCTCGTAGTCTTCCGTTGTGTCGAAGTTTGTCGCTTCCTCGTCCGAAGAAACACGACGAGCTTCCAAAATACGCGTTGTTTTGTCTCCCTCGATGTCCTTGTTTGTTGACGACGATCTCGTTGTTGTTGTTGTTGCTGTAAGTCGTCGCCTCAAGCACGTTCGTCCCGCGAACGGACAAAAAACCACGGTAGCTACGCACGCACTACGCAAAAAAAAAAACTCCGAAAAAAAAAAAGAAAAAAAAAAACTAGGACGCTACGACGTCAAGAATTCCACGGCGCTCGCTGGCTGACTTGGTTGGCGCGCGCGCACACGCTCGCACGGCAAGGCAGCTGCTCCCAGTTTGGAATGCGAGGTATGGCACAAAGAATCTCCACAACGCGGACGGACGAGTGCGCAGCGCTGTTGGCGCATGGGTGGGGCCTAGACGTCACGTCCGCTTCGCACCGGATGACGTCATCGCGGAGCAGATGCCGGTAGTTCCAGGCGCGCATTCGCCGCGTCGCTCGAATTCTGCAGCAGGCCAAGAGCAGGAGAGAGGAGGAAGCGGGAGGAAGGAAAAAGAAAGGAGGAGTACAAAGGAGGAGAAGGGGAAACGAAGGGCGTCGGGGAAGAGGGAAAAGCGATGGCAGCGCCTCGCAGCTGCGGACAGCGGAGTTGTGCCGGCGCGATCGCGCTGCCAAGCTTCCTTCGGCGACTGACTGATTTCTATTTGAGGAAGCAGTCGAGGTCGACGGCGGCGGGGTAGCAGCGGTTTCAAATTTGCTTGCTGCAGACCGTTCTTCTGTCTCTCTCGTGCTCTCACTTAATGTTGCGTTAAGGACTTGTCCGTCTGGAATATTGGTTGAGCTACGACAGAAACGCTACATCATCAAGTTCAACATGGAACACTTTTATTTTATTATCGCCCTTTCTCGTTCTGAATTTGTTCCAGGCGTAACACTTCCAGTGAAGCAAAAAAAAAAAAAAAAAAAGCTGTTGTACATTTTGTTGTTTTGACTGATTGATAATTTTGGAAACGCCCTCGACCGTGCTAGCTATCGCATATGTCATCGAGCCCAGAGTTTAACGATCGTGTTCAAACTTAGTGACTTCATATATTTTCACTCACGATCATATTTTCTCTCCAAAACTGCGGTAACTACATGATGTAATTGGGTTCTTTGCGAAATCAAAACGCGTACTCTAAACGCCCTTTTGATCGTCGTCGTTTGGTACGAGTCACTCCTCAACAAGTCGACGTTAATTTTTGCTTACCATCGCTTCATGCAACTAAAGGCTGATGCCCTTAGTTGTATGAACTCGTGTTACTGTCTCTAGTTATGTTCTCTTCTAAGGTCAGGGTTCTAGTTATGACGTCCGCTGATTTCTTTTTCATTAGAAATGCCCTCTACCTAGTTTCTTTTTTTTTTTTTTTTTGTCATTTTAAATAAGCTATATTTTCATAGTTACGGATTCTAGTTGGGTATGCACCCTCGGTTATATCCTCAACTTATCTTTCTTTCTCTACTAATGTTCTCTTCACAAGTTTCATGTTTCTTTTCTTAGCTGTTGTACAACTAAGGACAAAAAACTCAGTAGGTGAAAATTTTGAGAACGTAAACCTAACTAGAAGACAATATTAAAGACAGAAACGGCATGGTTGTTGAACCAACGAATTAAAAGCAAGATTTTGTTTCCCAACCGTTCAATGACTGTAGTTTTATTCAGGGGCGGACTTACCAATAGGCAGAGTAGGCAGCTGCTTAGGGCGGCAGAATTTTTGGGGCGGCCGATTTGTTGCCACCCCCGAATTAATTGTTTTTATTGTTTTTTTTATTTATCTTCTAATTTGGTTATCTTGGGAATTCTAGCTTCAAATCTAGCTACTTTTGAAAATGTTAACTCCAAACTTAGCCCCCCCCCCCCCCCCCCTCCTTTTTTTATCGTGGGTAGCGCCATTTTGAATACTGTAACGCCATCTATAGCGAGCGTCAGGTTCCGCCGGCCATGCCGAGTGGTTAGAAACCTTGGCGAAAGTGCTCTTTAGGTCGCCGCTTCCACGTTGGTTGTGCTAGTTGGGTGCTCCAAAGTGCTGGAAATCGGACTTTGTTCGTAACTTGCGTTCTTGTCTGCCGCCGATGGACTTTTTCAACTCCTTGAGAACGTTCTTTGTCCCACATTATGACATCCGCCAGTGCGGCACTCAACGGGCCACCGATAGAAATCGGCAGTGAGTACTTCCAATATTGTATCAGTTAACAGCAATTACATTTTATGTTGCCGTTTTAGATGCAGCACACCAATAATGTTATTGGCGTTTCGTTTTGTCCAAAACAATGAAATACTATAATGTGAACAAGGACGCGCGAAATAAGAGCATTGCAAGGAACGATCAAAGGCCTTCGGCTCGAAAATGTTTATAAAAGTTTCATTTGAGGATCCCGTGTCGACGAATGTGTATTTTGTCGAGGACTGAAAAACACAAAGTTAAAATGGGCGCATTGCCGGAGCGAGTCGATCAACGATTCAGCGATTTGAAATCGATGCAGGATCATGTTTCAGCAATAGAAATTTAAGTTTTCCTTCCAGTCACGTTATGTACTAATTTTCAAAGTCAGAAAAATACAGTCGCGTTGTGACGGTCAACATAAGTTCACGGCTCTCTGGTATCGCGCAGAAAATCGCGATTCAGGAAAACCAGTAGAACTAACTTTTCGACAATTTCCACCCACACTCAGCGGCAACAATGAGCCTTCAACTAAGCGTTGGAAGTGATAAAATCGAGTCAATGTCACCACTGCTAAATAACAGCATTCGTATAAATTAAGTTACGAAAAGTTACAAGCTGAAACAAAAACTCTCACGAGAAAACTTGCGCGCACCTTGCGAGCGCGTAGCCCGGTTCATCGATGGTACAGCGTTAAGTTCACGCTCCATTCACAACATGTTCCGAGCACATTCGAGAAGATGACGTTGGGGAAAAGTCTTTTCGGTTTACGGACGCACCCCACTTCCGCCGGAGGTCTTGGTAATTTCTAAAGCGATGGAGTTTGAAGGCATTGAAGCCGCAGTTGCCTTGTCGAATCCCGTCCTCCGATAATATCCTGCACTCTCAGTTGTCATTCGTACAGCTTATTACCGAACAATGGTGTCCCGATGACGGGAGATTGTCGCCATTGAATGTGCTAGCTCTAATTAAATTGGAAAGTAAAGAAGAGTAGGAAACCGCGAAGAAAACAAGCAAACTTGGAGCTACACAAGTGTTCAAGGCGTTCGTCTGGGTCTTCCGCTTCGGGGGGGGGGGGGGGGGGGGGGGGGCACTGTAACAGGCCGTCTAGGGAGGCAAAATACCAAATCCGCCTCTGGTTTTAATGCCTAAACATTTTCATCGATAAAAAAAAAATTAAACGATCAGCGTAGTCCATCGACGTTCGGATAAGTTCTGACATGACAACATCTGAGAGAAAAAAAATATGCAAGAAAAGCGCGCGTCGCGAGGGGCTGCCCCGCAGAGCACTAAGCCGTTGGGAGAAGCTCCACTCTCAGAGCAACCACGTGTGGCCTGAATTATCGCGACTCGACGGAGCGAATGTGAGGCGCGAACAACTACGAACTCTGCGTGCCGTCAAAAAGCGCTGTTTTGACACATGTCGCCAACGTCGCCGGGCTAAATTCCTAGGCTTGACTAGAGCTATATTCGCTCCATGGAGCCTATGCTGAAATGACGAGGTCTTTGAATTGATCGGATTCCCACGCACTGCAACGTGATGGAGCAAATGGTCTTGCTAAAGCCGCGCAGTCTTGAGCCCGTGCCCTTCAGTGCGCTACACAGAGCTTCCCAGAAGGAGGCTGGTGGTGTTGCAACGACTCCTTCCACGCGGTGTCCCTCAAGAACAAATCCTGGAAACTCGAGATTCAAAGACGCTGTTATCTGGAATGGCCGAATTCACAATTACCGCGGAGCGCGCGCGTACACATCCAACCACTTTTTTTGTTTTTTCTTCTTTTTTTTTTTTGCAGGTTGAAATGTGTTTGTGGAGCAATAACCGCGGCCCCGAAATACCGGAAGCTATCAATTCCCCGAAGTCAAAGAAATTCAAACATGAAAGGCAGTCATCAAATGTCTGGTTTCGTGCTCTACCGTCGATATACGCTTGGCAAACGGTTCTTTCCCTTACACTGGTATCCAAACTAAACCACGAAAAACCCAAAGAAAAAAAAAATGACGCACAAGTTTGAGGCTGTTTCCGACTTCCCGCCAACCTGACAGATCCTGACAAGAAGAGGACAGCTATAATGACCACCACACCACACAACACTCACAAAAACAAAATGATAAAAAAAAAAAAACGTCGCTGACACCGTCAAAGAACTAAGGAAAAATAAAATACAAACGCTTGCTAGCGACCGCGCGCGGTTAACTCTTCGCTTTACCAGAAGCACGCACACACACACACAAAAGAAATAACACCAAAAGAAACATCTGCCAAACAAAGATTCCAAGACTACGAATCAAGCGAAATGAGAGACGCAATGACAACCACCACTGTAATAAAAAGAAGAAGCAAAAAAAAAAAAAAAAGGATGAAACGTGCACGCGGTTACGGCAAAGTCGTTCGTTCCACGGTCCGAATCTGAATAATAACAGTCATCAGGGCTTTACGTCTCAAAACACAAGACCGGGTAATGAGACTCGGCCAACAAGACAACCCGCGATGAGGAAGAGAAGTCATCCAGACCCGGCCCCACCGTGTAGCCACGGTCGGCTGACTTGCAGACAGCCTCCCAGTAATGACACAGACTGAAGGAACGTGCTGCATGCAGCATGGGCAACAGCTCTGATTACCACCAAGACTTTTTTGTGCGTCTGTGTGTGTCAGCCAAATTTACGGGGGGGGGGGGGGGGCAGGGGGGGGGGGAGGTTGTTTTGTACCCTTTGCCCGGGAGTTTTGATGCGGCCACGCACTGGCAATCCAAGAACGATAGGGCGTGGTGGTGAAATTCAACAATTTCAACGGCGAAGCGGCCAATGTAGAAATACCTGTGTGCGCGTTCGCAGTGTTCCCTACTACGAGTAACGCATGCCAATTGTTTTATGACTATTTCTTTTTGAGTCGTTTCCATGTGAGAAATGTCGAATAAAACCATGGCTAGTGTTACTCGCCTATTCATTCCCCACTCTCTCTTTCCCTTTATCTCATACCCATGTTCACTCACACAGACACGCACACACGCACTGACACTTCAGCCCCCTCACTCATTTTTAAACTGGCACTCAAACCCCCTCATCACCTTACTCCTAACTCACTCACTTACACTTACCATTAAACTGACGCACTAGTTTTAAACTAACACTGGCACTTGTTTTTTCCTGATGTTTACCCACCCATTCCCTTAC